GCACATTTTTATATAAAGTTTTCCAAGTACATTATAAATAATAATATAATAATATGATTAGGGCTCCCTTTAAATATGTTGTACTCGATATTTTAATAAATATTAGATATTAATAATCATATCAAAAAATTATGAATAAACTAGTTAATTTTACTGTAATCTACTGTATTTTATTTAATTTATTAGATATATTTATTATATAATAATTTATTATATAACATTCGATTTGTCGATTACTAAAATCTACAAATCGAATTTTATATAATAATATATTTATTGTATAATAATTTATTATATAAAATTCGTTTTGTAGATTACAGTAAAATTAGTTTATTCATAATTTTCCGGTATGTTTATTAATATCTTATATTTATTAAAACATCTAGTACAACATATTTAAAGGGAGCCCTAATCACATTTTATTGCAAATTGCAATCGACCCAGCACTATTTATTCAAATTTTGTTATAAAATTAAATTATAATAATATATTTTAATTACAGGATTGATGTAATTATAATCCAGTATAAAAACTCATACAGATATACATTTTTAAAATACTCAATAAAATGTCTCTTTATTAATTTCAAACTAATGAAATCATTGAAACAGCTCTCATATAAAAATAAGTAGAAATTGCTGTTTTTCCAAATTTTGTGAGCTCAATAATCAATATTATAATATTAAGCAAGTTTTAATTGTCGAATATTATTAAAATTATATAACCTTGTAATAAACATTTGTGATTGTAACATATATGAATGCAAATAACTCCATAAAGTTGTTGCAGCTCTTGAAAAAAATATGATTATTTTATAATTATTACTACAAAAGACAAAAAAATACATATAAGTTTTAAAACATATATTTTATATGAATCTATGAGATGGTTGTCCCTATAAAATTAATCTCATTAATTAATATAGCCTGAAAACCATTTTTTTAGTGTTAATTTATGATAATGAACTGGATTTCTAGATCGGTAAATTTAAAAAATTGGGATTAATAAAATATTTGTCCAAATAGCTATCCAATACAGTATTGAATACTCTGTGAAAGTTAAATTATCATACATTTTTACAAATTTTAGAATGCGTTTTTATATTTATCGATGTAATTTAGATCATTTATAACCATATCAATGACTTGATATCATTCACTTATATTCACGAGTAATATAAAAGATACACAAATACACAAATATTATTTAAGAACAAATGTATACACATATATATTCATTATTAAATTTATATTATAAATTATTCTAAATTTTCAACATATAGCATATACCTGAATCATATAGCACTTCTAAATTACAGAAATAAATTCTAAAACTTGTAAATATGTAAAACAATTGAACTTTCACAGAGTATTCAATACTGATTTGGATAGTTATCTGGACATATATTTAATTAATCCTAATTTTTTCAATATATTAATCCAGAAATCCAGTTTTTTTTCACATACATTATATAAAGTTATAACCATATTTCATTAAAAAGCGTAATATATCTTTATAACACTACATCAAACATATTGTGAAAATATAATCTAAAGATAAATTGTCGAAATTTCACATTTCGTATATGAGTAAGGTCAATAAACGAAAATGTGCCTGTGACCCTTGTAGTATGAACTTACCGAAGATCATTCAATTTCCTCGCTTACGACTCGGCCCGCCTTATTTTGACTGAAATTTCGAGCGCCGACTCGCGCATGGTACCCTGGTATATTGGGCTAGTTGAAGACACATAACTGACATGCACAGAAACACGATCTCATCAGAGAAACACAACAATGCAAGGAGTTAAAGATATTGGTACAAAAAATACATACAAAATAATAAAAATTATTTTTTTGTAAAAAAAAACCTTGAAAATACTTACGTTTCAATTTGGTTGCTCCACAGTATTTTTGCTTTATATAGAAACCGGTTTTTATACGGCTTCGATTAAAATGTTTTGTTTGTTGTGTTCCTATTCGCTCGATGCTATGAGGCACTATGGATTTATTTGCAAGATGATCTGTAGCAAAACTGTAAAAGTAAAATTACAGGGCTGCATTAGAGTTTTTATAGGAAAGATATTTTTTTAATTGCTATTTATTTTTTTAAATTAACTTCAACGATAAACAGTAGAATAATTAATTACTCTATGGTCTTTTATTAATATAATTAATAATATGCAACAATTTGCAAAATTTATAATGAGATATAAATGATACAAAGTACACTTTAAAATTGTGTATAATTTATAAAAACATAAAAAAATATGCAACTAAAACATATGAAATATTGTAATTTCAATTAAACAATTCAATCGATATGCTCCATTTAAAACACATTGTGCAATTTGTTAAATAACATGAAATTTTGAGATAAATGATGGCTACTGAACCTTTAGTAAAACAGCGTTCCTGTAAAGCTACAAAATTTTTATTGATGATTCATATTATTACTCCTTAGAGATGTATATGCATTAAACTAAAATAAATCTTGTCTCATAAGATTACAGTTTATATATGTGTTTGTCTAAATTTCAAAAATGTATGTGCAATGTATGTTGACTCTGTCCAGCCTAAGCCCTTACCATGCGAGGAAAAAGATGCTATGGCGAGAGTGCAAGTAATCTAATAGGCGTAACTTGAAAACTAATATCAATCAAATTATATTATATAAAAATTGACAAAATTAAATTATGGTCAAAATTATTTTAGTTAATCATAATATTTTAATGCATCTTGCTCATAAAAATGAATCTTTCGACTCGCTTGGCAAGTACTTGTGCAGGTTGAAATCGCCTGGCAATTTGAATTTTGGACTTTCTTAATTAATAAATTAATAAATTGTATAAAAAATTAAAGTTTACAGGACCAAGTTCAATTTTTTGTTTTGATGTGCAAAGGCTGAAACCTGCCAGGCGATGATTTCGTTCCAAAAGTTAGTTCAAATTCTCAGCCTATTGTTGTAACTTATTTAATAGTATTTGCTTAAAATTTTGAAAATTTTGTATTCGTATTGTGGTTTTGTAACTCAGTCAATAACTGTTTAAAACCGTTGTCGGGGAACTCGGGAAATTACCCCAAATGGGCTAAAAATGACGTTTTTGGAGATAAAAAATATGTATTTTTAATTTATATACTGTATTTGCTATGAAGTTGTCTGTATGGGGGTAATAGAATAAAAAATCGTTTAAAACAATACAATATTCTGTTCAATTATTTTAACTTATGCACAAATTTATTTATGTAACATTTTATTTTCAAACGTTGTAGTTTTATGTCATTAGGAAATAATCAGCAATAATTTATTTTGCTAAATCATCATCAGATTATCGTCAACTCTACACATAGAACTAACGCAGAACGTAAATCGAATTCATATTGTGAACCTAAGTAAATTTTATAGCACTCGAACATAGAGGTGATAACTGCTATTACTTCCTTCTAATTAAATGTTGAAAAGAGATTATAATATTAAATGCTCTCGAGAAAACACGATAAAAGCTGATGTCTTATTGCGATGACCCATAATTTTGGTATACGTACACTCCTTGTACACTATCGAAAGCATGGGTGAACGCAAAACCGCCTAGCACTTTGGTATAAAATTTATTATTTTTGAATTTTTTAAATTATTTATAATTTACCTATATTCAATCTGATATTGACAAAAAAGTTTTTCACGAACTCCGTGTTGAAGGCGCAAATTAGTGATTTTCGTTATGTGCCGGTCGCTTTACTTACTTAGTAAACACTATTAACATATTTCATTTTCATTAGAAGTGTAAAGTAATTTTAAAAGTCTATACATATTATCTTTATATGATTTAGATATTTATTATACAAAAACTATATATTTACAAAAAATACAAATGGATGACTTACAGTTTTCGATCATATGCAACTTATACAGTTATATTATCAATAAATATATTTCTTTATTTTTCTAACAATAGTAAAATATTTTGATATATGTTATAAATTTGCTGACAAACACTTTCATAAAACATTTTGTAATTGCATAAGACACATATTTTTTGTTAAAGTTTAAATGCAAAGATTCGCTATCTACTTATTTTACTAATGATGGCAAAACATTGATTTTAGCTGACAAACATGCTTAGATTTGCTAAAAAATAATTATAATAAAGCTATAGTACATTTTAAGATTTGACTTTTCAACGTTTTATTATATTAATATTAAACACACATACCTACAATAATTTTGTGTATAATGATATAGGTAGTTTAAATTAACCATAAGATGGGTAAAGTCCGAACTTGTTAATTAAAACAAGCTATTTGATTATGAACTGGTATTTCCAACAATTTATAAAATTGTTAAAATTTTTAATATAAAACGGTGCGATATAATGCGATTATATTATCTAAAGATAAATCGTGATATATTTTAATGTATATAAAATAATGGTTTTAAAAATTTGATGATACTATAGCATTCAATAACTTCTTCAAGAAAAATATCCAGTACTTTTCATCAATTACATCTTTTGTTTTCATTTTCATTTTAATTTCATATTTAATTATAAAATATCTATAAGCTGTATAACAATCACAAGTTTTCAACTTTTAAAAATTTGTTAATATACTAACTAATTGTATTGCAGTCTTACACAGCTAAAGGCAGCACAGTGCTTGGAAATGTTTATCCTTTGGACAAATTACTAACATTAAGATATTGAATTTAAACCTAGAAAAAGTACAGATTAAACTATTCATAATTCTAATATAATTGAATAAACGTATCAGGTCCCTATAAATAAAATCGATAAAGAGTAATTATTTACACACAGTCACATAAACAATATTTTACACATCGTAACGATCAACTCACAGTTTTATTCATTATAATATTAATATTTTATATTAATTGTATTTGTCTCTTCAAACTTGATAACCACCCAGGTCAAACATTAATATATTACAGAAGACTCAAAATATGCGCTCAAAAATTTTTATTTATTTTTTTAATTTTCTCCATTTAATTCGATTACTTATTTGTTCATTTACGTCTTCAACAAACAACGCAACTCATAAACCATTTCAAAGCCTGATAAAATCAAACTTATTTGCATCAAATGATACATCAAGGCATCAGTGCAAAATTCGATACCGACTCATAGATTTTTTCTTAGATTTTAATTTAAAAAGTAAATATTCATATAGAATATACTCAATCAACGACTTCTCAATAATCTAATCTAATAAGGTGGCGAGTTGCTATCGGATCGCAATTGCTTTATCCGCATGTCATCATAGGCAATAGTAAAAACGCTTTTTTTCTCTGCTATTGGATTTCGTTTCGCGGTTGTCAAATTTTGTAAAATCATGGATGTCATAGCTATTCCCGAATCCTGATCATCCTCCGGCATACCCTTTGTTTTACCATCAGATACAGTCAAATTATTTTGATTTTGAGGAATAGAAGAGGGATGTTCGTATCTGTATTCGGAATGTTGAGTTAGAGAATGATTAGAACCTTGGTTCGATGGTACTGCTTTAGCAGATTGTGTCTCTATAGCAGGTTTCTTTTGAACATGACTTTGCCTTTCTAGACTTGAATCAGTTCTTGACTTCGTTTTTGATTTAGATTTAGCTGACTCTGACTTTTTCTTGGAGTCTGTTTGTTGATCAAAATACCATTGCATATATCTAGGTACTTTACCTTCTTCACCTCCTTCAGATTTATTAGGAGGTTTAGGTGCAGGGCCTTTGTTTTTATCAGCTGAAGTAGCTAATTGTCTCTTTTTAGGAATAGGTTTTTTCAGTCTGCCTTCATACATTTCTCCTTCCGTGCTAGTTTTACCAGAATTAGTAGCATCACCTGGTTTGTCAGCTGATTTCCTATCTTCCAAACTATCCGCAGAAATGGATCTTCCGTTTTCTTCATGATGTTGCTTCTGAGTTGCTGTTTGTCGTTTGGCTTTTACATATTTTGGTTCTCTAGTCATCTGAAGAGTTCGCTCAGCAGAGCGTTGCCGTTCGTCCAGCGAATCAGAAATTTCGGCAAGTACGTCTGATCGTTCTGCTTGTCTGCTCTTGCGGCTGTTGGTCTGTGACGACGTTTGATGGTGATCCTCGACCGGAGAATCCTCTTCTGCGATAGGAGTACGGATGCGGCGAGCGCCGAGTACGCGCTTTTGTTTGCGACGCCTTATTCGGCGACGACGACGCCAATCTTCTTCATCTTCTTCATCTCCTAAAAATAAAAAATACCAATGAAATGATAAAATTATACAAACGCAAAACTTTCCTCTTAATGTCTTAGAATACTTCTTTAAATTCATGTTATGAAGTATTCTGATTTATGTAACTGTCCTACCAGGCGATTCGTCCAAATCGCTTCTAGTTCTTCTTGGATCTGTTTGCGTGCCAGCTGTGCGGTCGGTCTGCGTCCCGGCGACCGCAGCAGCCGCATGTCCTGGCAAGCTCTGAGTCTCAGATAGAGCTTCTGCCAGTCCGCCTCTCAAGCTGCGAGTTTCTTGGAGTAGTAGAAGTCTTTCCTTTTCAAGAAGAATTTTACGTAGTAAAGCATTTTGTTCGCGTAAAGACTCTTCCAATGGCGGTTCTTGAGCTTGAGGAATTGCTTGTGTCTGATGCATTTCATCTTCCATGAACCTAGGAAGAACAAACATAAATATATAATTTGAATACACTCATATATTGGACTCGAAATATACGAGATATGAGATATTGCAAATGTCTACCGGTTTATATCCATAAATTGTGGATAAGAAAATTAGATCGTAATCAGATAAAATCATTCAATATGAAGAACTATGAATCATGCTAACTATAAGTAAAAACTTTGATAATTGAAAATGATAATTTGATAATAAAAACTTATTAATTTAAACAGTCAATTTTTTATATGATTCGTTTTCTGAGAACCCCATTTGCACATTGAAATATCACATACATTATGGTTCAAAATCATAAGAATGTAACCTTTGAATCATTTACCTTCTCATCAGCAATTCTTTTTCCCCCGTCAACTAATACGTATTGCCCACTTAATGCATCCTCCCTTCCACCCCTTGTCATCAACTGAAGAATTTCGGCATCACCTTCTCTTATAAATCTTTGATCGCGTCGGTCATCAGTCTGAGCCATAGTAATCAGACGTTCTCTATCTAATCTTTCCAGGCGATCGAGTTGGTCTAAATCGCGCTCTGATCGACGCAACTGAACATCACGGGTGTATATGACGTTGGGACCATCCCTAAAAAAAACAATTACAACTAAGCAACTTTAATATGATGGACAATATTGTAGATCAATTTTATCAACGGACGAAAATGAAAAATTACTGTTCCTATATAAACTTTCACTAACCTCAATCTGAGAGCACCATCTGGTCCTCTCTCAGGTGCAGTTAGTCTTCCGGGTCCTGGAATATATTCTTCTCTGGTAACTGAAGCGTCATCACGATCATCGCGGTACCTTTGCGATTGTTGATTATTATTTCGCCTGTTGAATTGCCAATGAGTCGGTCTTGTTCGTGGTTCAGCTTCTGCACTCCAGGCTTCACGAGCTCGGGTCCATTCAACAGTCTGTGGAAGAACTCCGCCTTTGAGAGCTGTTTTCTCGGTGGCTGATCTGTGTACTAGACGAACACCATCTTCGGTAGCTACAACGCGCTTCCTGAAATTTTAGTAATGGATATTAACATATTAGAAATTAAAGTGGAATTGTAACCAATATTAATAGTAACAACATATCAGTAAATAACACCATATCCCAGAGATTTGAAGAGATAACTCTTCATGGAGCAAGTCGCGCTTAGAATTATATTACTCTTTGTGTGTTCAACTGAGCCTCGGCCTATCACTTTGATAAATTCTCAACAAATTTTTCAACATAAAGCATATTTGTGTTAATTTATGAAATTCCGATGTTTTATGACTGAAGGGATTTATATTCTTAGCAATCCCTTGGTACGTGGTTTTAAAATTTGATATTTTTGAGTGGCAAAAGAATGTGAAGTAAATATTTTTATGTAATAAATACCTGGGCGGCATATAGAGAGGACAACCTGCACAAATGCAGCAAAGTATCAAAGCCAAAATTGCGCAAGCTATTGCAAGTGCCAGAAATATCAATAACCAAAACAATAGATTACTGCTATCGCCTCGATAGATCTGAAATTAAAATAAAAATGAGAATTTTTATATAAATTTTTATAGAATTTATAATAAGAAACTTCAGTGTATATTGCATTTAACATAAAAAATTACCTGTGCTGTTGTTTGTTCGGTTGCTATAGCCGCTGCGGAATAATTGCCGCTAAGTCGTCTTTGAATTTGATCAACATCCACTACAGAATTTGAAGTATAATGAAGACTGGCCAGAACAATACTCCTGAAAAGTTTAATATAAAATATAAACATGAGAAGAGCATTTGCCAGGCACATTAAATTATTTACAATAAATATCTCTATTAAAGCAACTTAAAAAAAGAAAGTAGAATCACGAATCATTGAATTACTAAATTAATTCGATGCTTATGTCTTCTATCAGTAAAATTAGGATGCACCGGATAAATCAAAACAATAATTAGTAATATGTAAAGTTAACTGTAATGCAAGCAGTATTTTATTGCATAAAAATAATGCTTAACAGTCTGAATTTTTTCTGAGAAACTGTACAAATTAACACCCAATGAATGATCTTTTAGGAAAATTTCTCAGTTAAAAAATTCAGTATTTTAATTTTTTCTCTAAAACTAACTTGTCCGGGTCGGTATCATGCGGCCTGACGTCCTCGATCGTAACAGCAGCCCCTGTCAGAGCTCTTATCGTGTCGGCGGTGGCTTTCAGATCAGGCTTCGAACCAGGAACCACAAACATGAGCGACCGTGCTCTGCTTTCAGGAGGATAAACACGAACTGAGGTTGTTGCTGCCATGTGAGGAACTCCTAAGTCGTAGGCGCGCACAGTCATAGCGTAAACCTCAGGTTTCAGGCCATTTCCTTGCTTATTGGATGTATCACGAGATGTTTTTATGTTATTTACTGTTAACTCGCCTAATTGATAAAAAAAATATATGAAATTCTAATTTTCACATTAGTTCAGAATAGTTTACAATAAAATAATTATATTATCAATATGAATATGATTTCAATAACTTATAGAACTGACCAGTAATTTCATCCAAACGAAATTTTTCATCATAATTTCCATGTACGATTTCGTATCTGACTTGATTATTTGGGCTGGTGGCATCTGCATCAGTGGCATGTAGAAAGGCTGGAACCGTAAAATTATTTAGCCCAGATGACAGCATAAATTCATAAACATCTCGTTCAAAATGAGGCGCATTGTCGTTCACATCAGTTATTGATAGAACCAGAGAAGTTGTAGCAGCATTACCTTTGAGGAAAAAATTAAATATTAAAATTTCAAGCCTGTATACGTATTTTTGTATAACTGCATTTTAATGAAAATAACATTATCGATTATTATTTTTGTTTACCCTATGTACACCAAGAAATATCTGTTTGCACTTATTTTCTATATGAATATTCAAAATAATATCGTTATATATTGGTATGTGTATTTAGATAGGTTTTATAACAAGTATCTATATAAAGACGATCTTTAACTGATATAAGTAAAATTATATATAAACATTATTTCATGTTTTCGAACTATTATGAAAATTAATAAAAACTGACTATTATTCAATTTCATAATATAAAATTTTTATCAATTATTGATTTACCTTCTCCATCAGCATCTCTGGCTTCCACAAGAAAACTATATTCTGGCATTTCCTCACTATCAAATCCGTGATTGTTAGTCGCTACAGTAATCCATCCAGTTTCAGAATCTAATTTTAATGATGTATTTCGATACCCTACAATAACAGAGAAACGATTATTATTCCATATAAACGGGCTAAAATACATGGTTAAACTAGCATTCGAAATAATTAATGAAAACGTTCACAGTAATATAAAAATTACGCTAGTAATTCACGACAATCTTTAAACAAGATTATAGGAACCATCATTGGCTATATTTTAGGAGTAGGACATAATAGACCATTAAATGGATTTAAAATTGCATTGATTTAAAACCTAATTTTCAAAAAATTTGTGATATTGATAATATATAATTGATCTAAAATGCATCTAAAGTAGTTGGTTATTAATTGTAATAAAGAATTATATTTATGTTATATTTAAAATTTTAGAGGTACGGAGGCACATAGCGCCTGACACTCTATTTAACAGGTATTATTTAAGCGAGTATAAATCTTTCGATTTCAAAATACAAATGAACTTTCTACCGTAAATGGTAGAATATTATTAGATATTTTAACAATTTTAGTAGGTACCACCAAACAAACATGTCTGTCCCTTAGCACCGGACACTAAGTCGTCCCTTAGCGCCGGATAGTAAACATATAGATATTTCTTAGGAGAATTGACGTAATTTATTCTAATTATTTAATTTTGTTCTGTATGAGTGCTAACGATCACTACATACCCTCATTTTTCGTATTTTCTAGTCAAGAATGAAAATCTTATGATGAATGCTCCAGCTGAGAACATCAGTGTGGCCCAGCCAAAAGGGTGGATAAATAGTGATTATTTTTTGCAATATCTAAGAATATTCGTCAACACACATGTGCAAACATTCCAGATTCCAGGTTATTTTGAAATGTCCAGTACTAGGTGCCACGTTTTAAAATCATATTTTTTGTTACCAAAGTTTGTTAATTTAGTTTGATTTCTAACTTTGTTATTTAACATAAGTCATAATTTGATAAACATTTCGTAAAATATTTTTTGATTTATTTATAAATAACCTTAGGTGTCTGGCACTCGGGGACTTCCCCCTATGTTTTATTTTGCATAAATAGAATAGAAGTATAAGAATATTATATGATGAGAATAAGACTTATCCTATTTACCCAATATTCTAGTATATCTTAATCTTCCTCCAGGACCAGTATCTTCATCTTTAGCCTGCACCTGAATGACTCTGGTACCAGCAGTAGCATTTTCCGCAAGATCCGCACGATATTCGGGTTGCAAAAAACCGGCGGATTGTCGTTGACATCATTTAAAAAGATTTTTACGTTGCTTATATAGCCGACAAGTTTGTTGTAGGTCCCAAT